CATGGTCCCAAGGGAAAGATATTTGGTATTTTTTAAAAATACAAGTTATTACCACCATCTGTTAGCTCCTAATACCCACTGCCTGTATTCCTCATGAAAGTACTGCTTAAACTTTATTGTCAGGAAACAAAAATTACCTTATGTCTAAAAGTCTTGACCATCAGATAAATCACTGTAATTGTCTTAGTAGAGTAAAAGGGTAATTACATATTATAAAAGTCTCTGTTCCAAATTTACATGGTAAGAGAAATGGCTAACTTCACATGAGTAATATAAAAGGAGTCAAATTCTCTGAGCACTTCATGGCACCTTTTGCATTTAATAGCATCATTAAAACTTTAAGAGGAACATTGTTGAAATAACTTAGTGCAGAATAATAGAGTAGTTAGTTTAAGGTAGTGATAAGTGAGATTACTGAATATTTCATTGTTTTAATTATGTAGTCTAAGCTACTGGTGAGGAAGTTATCAGGGAGTCCAATTACTCATTAATCTTGTTTAGTGAGCAGCATTGATCTTTACATAAGAACTGGTGGTACTTTCCAAACGAGTGGAAGATAAATGGTAAAAGAAAGGATTAAACAGTTTAAACAAAAGAAGTACAATTAGCATAAGCATATAGAAAAAATCATTCTCACTAATAAATAAATACTCATATCAGAAATATAATTCCTACCAATTATCAACTTTTTTTAAATGTTAATGTCAATACTTGTAAGACTGTGGTGTAACTGGTGTGGGGGGATATATATATGGCAAAAAAAGGTATAAAGTTTTTTAAAAGTAATTAATAACATAAATCAAGAACATAAATGTTTTATTTTATTTTGGTGAAAACATTCAAAAGAAATTGTAAGATATGAAAAAGTCATTGATATCAATATGTTTATTGCAGAATTGTTTATAATATTAAAACAATGGAAATAACCCATTCCCCAGCCATTAAATTATATCTTTATAGGAAGTAACAGTATATAACACCAAAATAATAATTTTAGAGAGCCTATCAGAAATCCTTAAATTATAATGTAAGGGGGAATGTGGGATATGTGGTTCTATATGTTCTGTGTGTATATAAAACTATATGAAACACATGGAGTCCATAGCATAGAGTGGAAAGTACACATAATTGGGAACAAGATTAGCTTCTGTTTTAATTCTGGCTCCATGTGTGCAAGCTATTGACCTCTGATAAGTTACTCATACCCATCCTGTAGGACAGCTAAAAGAATGAAATTAGCTAAGTCTGTAAAGTCTGAGACAAGTTAATGGAATTATGGGTGAATTTTTTTTCTTATTTTGATTTCTATTCATTCCATAATGTTGTTTTCACAGTAGAAAATACATTTAAATATAATATTGATCACCAAAGCTATACTCAAAGTATACCCCTTGTAGTAGTGACTATATGGTTAACTAGAATGATCTAAATAATAATTTTTACTTAGCCAAACATCTCAAATTACACATGGCTAAATCATATTAGTTTATTTAACAAACATTTATATAGCTTCTACTACCATGTAACAGACATTGTTCAAAATACTTAAACAATATAAACACATAAACTTAGAAAATATAAGTGTTCACTAAATGTGGGATAATAGAATTGTTTTTGCAACCACTTATCTATAAAATCAGTCTTTGCTTGCTACCATACAACCAAAACAAAACATGAAATTTTCATTAAATTCTAAGGTTGATATGCAACTGAAAATTCCATTTTTCAAGTTGTTGTGTTTATCTAACAGCTGAATTATTATTGAATTATTTTATTATTTATTATTGAACTAATAAATTTATGCTAGTTAAAGTCTACCCCAATTTGCAAATTTGCTCTTTTTAATTTTTTGCTTGGGGAAAAAAATATGTTCTGCATTAAAAAAAAAACTAATACATTGCATCATAATGAAATTTGTTTTTGTGCTCTGTTTTGTCTTATTCCAAGGAGAAAAATTGCCTTTTCTAAATGTTTGTTTCTTTTCATGTCTACCTATGCTTTAAAGCCTACTTTTGAATAATACACATTGAAATCAAATTATATGGAAATAGTAACCCCTTATCTGGGAGAATGTTGTATTTGGGTGGATTCTACTTATCACCAAAAGAACAGCAAATTAATCTCTAAAATATTTATTTCAATATCAGTTCTTTTCTTGACAATAGGATTGATTTGAATGTGTGAAGTCATTTTAAATAAATGATCTATCTTTGTTTTTCTTTCTTTTCTTGTAGTCATTCCCAACACAGCACTGCAACCCGCCAGCCTTCGGTGACTCTCCAACGGGCCATCTCACTGGAAGGGTAAGATAAGAATAATACACAGCCTTCTCTTAAACTAAACTGTGCAGCCTCATCACTTTGAGCACAAAGAACATCCTCCTTTCTTTCCTTTTCTCCCTTCCTCCTTCCCTTCTCTCTCTCTTTCTCTCTCTCTCTCTCTCTCTCTCTCTCTCTCTCTCTCTCTCTCTCTCTCATCAAAGATCTATGAATCTTATGTGATATACCAAATACAGTGCTATGTAATAGATTTAACAAGTAAATAAGATCTCTTCTTTCTCTCCAGAGGGCTCATTGTCTAATAGGAGTGACAGAAATACTAACACATACTTATATACAGCATAAGCATCTCACAGGAGATACATATAAGGGCCTAATGGAGATTCAGGAAGGATATCTGGCTGAGAATGTGTATGAGAGAAGGAGGGAAGAGCAGGTCAGGGTGGTTTCAGAGAAGATATAACTCTCCAGAAGTGAAACATCTGTGGAAATTTGCCTGACATACATTAGAAAGAAGGGTGTTGCCCGGCTGGTGTGGTTCAATGGTTGAGCATCAAACCATGAGCCAAGGGGTCACCAATTTGATTCCCACTCAGGACACATGCCCAGATTATGGGCTCAATCCCCAATAGGAGGCATGCAGGAGGCAGCCGATCAATGATTCTCATGGATATTTCTATCTATCCCTCTCCCTTCCTCTCTCTCTAAAAATCAATAAAAATAAAAGAAAGGAAGAAGGGTGCTCTAAGCAGAAGAAAGAGCATGTGCATAAACATGACCACATAAGCAAGCATGTGGTGTGAAAAGGCATTGAGTGATTCACTGCTGAGGCATTGGGTGTGTGAGGCAATGGAGATGAGAATGGAGATGTTGGCTGGGTGGGCTTACATATAGAGGATTTAGTATTTTGTATTTCTAATTTCCCCAACCAGATAAAAGCTGGAGGGCCTGAGGGGGAGGGGTAAGGGGCCAATATTTCTTTCCACTTGCTTTATAATCACAACTGGTTTAATTAAGAATATTTAATCAGTTAAGGTCTAAAATTATTTTATTTTGGCAATATCTGTTACCAACTATGCTTTGTTTAACCCTGTTTCCCAATTAGTCTTCCTTAGTGGCATTTCAATGCATAGCTCTAACTTTATTGTGTATTAGTCCTTTCCA